GGGCGGGGAGCAGCTTGGGTGAGCCTCATGGGTGACAACCCCCTCCTCAGGAGGGGAGCTCCTGCTGCTGAACTCTGGGGGCAGGTTCCTGGGGCCTGCTGGGAACAGGACTTCCGAAAGGAAAGGCAAATGTGTCTGGCAGGCTGTGGGGCAAGGCCATCTTTGCAAGCTATAAGTGAGGTCTCCAGGACCAGGGAGAGCACACAGCTCTTCTTAAAATCGAAGCTGTTTATGCCTGAGAGGAAACAATTCTACTTGGGCAAGAGCTGTGCCCATGTGTATAAAGCAAAACCCAATACAGTGACACCTGGAGGCAAACCAGAAAAGGCGGAGCGATCTGGGGGAAAGGGTCTCATGGCAAGAGCAGCAAGGCTGGTGCCCAATTCCGAAGCAGCCTTCCTGCGAGGGCCGCTGGACACAGTCTATGAGACGCTGCCCCTCCCCGGATTTAAACCAATGAAAAGCAAAAGCGTGTGTGTGACGGTGGTGGTGGGGGATAGCCTCCTCTCTAAACACCTGCACACTTCTCCCTCTCCCCTAGCTCGCGTCCTTCCCGCCAGCCCAGAAAACCCTGAGGCAACCACCTAAGTCACTCACTGTCCATTTCTTCCTCGGAAAACTCCTCAGCCCCAGCCAAGGGCAGTAGCAAGAAGGGAAGAATGTCGACTTGGGGCCCGAGCAACCACTTGTGGTGTCCTGGAGGTGGGAACAAGGAAAGGGATCAAGGAATTGGTCCGTTGGGTCCTGAGGGACCTGTCCCCACCCAGCAACGGTCCAATTCCCTCCTTGTCACTTACGATGCTCGAAACAACAATTTCGAAGTGTTCCCACCACTCCTCCCCTCCGCACGGAGGAGTCTGTGTACTGGGTAAGAGGCAGCAGCCGTTGGACCACGCACCTGTTGGAAGGCTACAATCATTGCTGTCCTTGTTCACTTCCAGTCCCCCTCCCCGCCCACGCAGGCGCCTGGGCTTCACCTGTCCGGGTCCAGGAGAAAGGCACGCACCTCCGCCTGCTGGCTAAGGTTGGAGAGCAGTGGCCCCAGGTAATGCAGGGGCGCGGCCGCGTTGTAGGTGGGCATGCACAGCGCGCTGACCAGCCGCTCCAGACCCAGCTGCTCCTGCTCAGCGGCCATCAGCTTCTCCATCAACGCAGCACATGGAGCCAGCTCGCGGCTCAGATTGGCCAGTACTGCGGCCGCCTCTTCAGCCCAGGGCCATTGAGGGTCCAACACACAGCTCAGCAGGAGGGCAGGTAGCTCCGGGTTCGCCGCCAGGAGCGGCTGGTGCAGGCAGGGGTCAGCAGCCAAGTTCACGAGCGCGCGGGAGGCGTCGCGGGAAGGAGCTGGGGCCGGGGCCACCGCAAGCTCCGCAAGAGCCCGCAGCAGCGCCTCCTGTCCTGCCAGCAGCGTGCGGCCCGAGCTCGAACCAGTCAACGCCAACACGTGCTGCGCCGCGGCCGCCTGCAGGTCTGCCCGCGCGCCGGGCACGAGGAAGGGCAGGAGCTCCGCCGCCTCCGTGTCCGCGCCGGCCTCCGGCTCTAACATGCCTCGCTCGCCCAAGGGCCCCGAACCTACTCCCGGGTCCCTCATGCCACCAGCGGTTTCAGTCGCCGCTCACCCTACTACGGCCGGGACCCGCCCCCAGAAAGGCGGAAGTAGTTGCGACCAATCAGAGGCTGAGGACCTGAAAGGGGACGGGGGCGGGACCGGCCCGGGCGCAAGGCATTGTGGGCCACGGAGTTGGAATTCCGCCTAGGTCTTGGGAACCTCCTAGGTGGCGAGCAAGCGTTCCTACTCCCCACCCTGCACCCTTCCCCACCCAAAAAACACTTAAGTTCTTGCAGCGACTTTCCCTGCTGTCTCTTGCTGTCTCCCGGCGTGTCTGCCTGCCGAGCCAAAGCGATTTACATCCGCTCCTCCGCAAGCCCGGGCCTTTGGTGTCCAAACTGTTGCTGCTGCCCAATAGCCCCGGGTTCAGAACCCGATGGCAGGCACGGGACTTGAGAAGGCAGCTTTGGACTAGCCTCTGACTTTACAGAGGGGCCAGTTTGGGGGCATTTGTCAGTTCTTTGTTGACAGAAGCCTGAGTCTTGGACAAAGGGAACTGGCTAGTGAATCTAATAGTTGCAAGTGTGGCGACAGGCTCTGCTTGCACAGTTCGCTAAGATCCCTGTTCGGTTTCTCCCTTCTTAGCTGTTCTGCTTCTCTGTGGCCCCATATCATCTTTACCTTCCACCGGCACATCTGTTAGCACAGGTGAGGGGACACTGACCTCAGCTACAAAATCCTAGAAGATGGTTTATTTCAGTACTGGAGTCATTTCCAGGAAAGTATTTCATTCGGTGCTTCTTGTGCATCTCTTACCAGTTAGCTGCCTGGGGTCCTTGACTCTCCCAAGAGAGAAATCTTGAGTCAGTGAGTTTTCCAGGGCTGGCCTTGGCAGCCCTCCTAACCATCAGCTCTGACAGCAAAGGAGATGGCTAGGAGCTGCAACAGTTACAGAACCTATGCAGCCTTAAATACCACCTGGGGACCCTTAGCACTACAGTGACCCTTAGCTCTTGTGCGGGCCTAAGTGTCCAGATTTCCCAGCCTTTGACAGTAGCTAGAGACAGAGTTCCTGAGAAGAGGCTAAAACCTTTTTCCTCTTAAAACCAAAGTGTTTCTACTACTGCTCTATTGCTTGTTGGGATAATCTCTTTGTATATTGTGTAAAGATGTCTGTGTTTTACATCAACTGCCTGAGGCACCTTCTGATTGTCTTAATAAAGAGCTGAATGGCCAATAGCTAGGCAGGATAGGGTATACTTCCAGGCAGAGATGGGAAAGAATCTGAGGTGTGAGATTTACCAGCCAGACATGGAAGAGGTTGGACATATGGTACAGGGGAGAGGTAACGAGCTAGGTGGCAGAATTTAGATGAACATAAACAGTCAAGTGTTAGGAGCTAGTTGGGAACAAGCCTAGGCTAAGGCCATGCTTTCATCATCAGTAAAAAGGCTCCATGTCATTATTCCGGAGCTGGCAGTCCAAAGAGAGTGCCGTTAGAACTGCTGCTTCCCCATGTATGCCTCTTTTTGCAGCTCTGCTGCTGTGTCCCTGCTGCCTTTCTTTGTCACACCAGCCCATTCAAATCTAGAGAAGTAAAAAAAAAAAAAAAAAAAAAAGCCGGGCGGTGGTGGCGCATGCCTTTAATCCCAGCACTCGGGAGGCAGAGGCAGGCGGATCTCTGTGAGTTTGAATCCAGTCTGTTTCTCCGCTCCCCATTCAGAGACTTTCTATTAATTATACCTGCTCGGCCAATAGCTCAGGCTTGTTACTAGCTAACACTTAATTTTAAATTAACCCACATTTCTTATCTAGCCTTTGCCACCTTGTGGAACCTTCTTTCAACATAGCACATTCATCTTGCTTCTCTCCGTATCTGCCTGAAACTCCTGAGACTCCGCCCTTCTTCCGGTGTCCTGTGTCTTGCTGTCCCTCCTATGCCTCCTGCCCAGCTACCAGCCAGTCAGCTTCAGCTTTTTTTTTTTCTTTGTTTGGTTTTTTTGAGACAGGGTTTCTCTGTATAGCTTTGTAGACCAGGCTGGCCTCAAACTCAGATAGATCTACCTGCCTCTGCCTCCCAAGTGCTGGGATTAAAGGCATTTGAGGACTGGAGTTTGGAGCTCCAGAACCTATGTATAAATATTTATAATTAATAGATGCCAATAAGAACATAGATGGATAAATAAATCAGATAGGCATAGTGCTTCATGTCTAATCTCCCAACTCAGGAAAATCATAAATGTGAGGCCAACCTGGTCTATAGAATGAGACTGTCTCAGAAAACAAAACAAAAAACCCAAAATCTTCTTATAATGGTTGACTTTGTTAACTTGACACAAGATAGCATCAATGAGGCACCCTCTAGATTAAGTTGGCCTATGGATGTGTCTATGGGAGGGTTTCTGAATTAATGGAAAGACTTTGCCCACTGCCGGTGATAATCATTCCCTAGGAAGAGTGAAGAGAGCAAGCATGAGTCATTGCAGTCTACCCTGGCTGTGGCTATAATGTGACTAGCTGCTCCAGGCTCCTGCTACCTGGACTTCCTCACAATGATGAATTGCAGTCTAGGAGAGGGAGCGGTTGGTTTCATTTATACTTTTCAGGTCACAGTCTATCACTGAGGGAAGTCAGAACAGGAACTCAAAGCAGGAACTTGGAGGAAAAAGCTGTAGCGCAGCCATGGAGGAGTGCTGCTTACTGGCTTTCTCCTCATGGCTTGCTCAGACTGTTTCCCTATACATTCCAAGACCACCTGCCCAGGGATGGCATCACCCACAGTGGACTGAGCCCTTCCACATCAATCATAAATCAAGAACAGTGCCCCACAGGCTTGCCCACAGACCAGTCTGGTGGAAGCATTTCTTTCAGTTGAGGTTCCCCCTTGTCAAATGAGTCTAGCTTGTATAAAGTTGATCAAAAAACAAAAACAAAGCCGGGTGTTGGTGGCACACGCCTTTAATCCCAGCACTCGGGAGGCAGAGGCAGGCGGATCTCTGAGTTCGAGGCCAGCCTGGTCTACAAAGTGAGTTCCAGGACAGCCTCCAAAGCTACAGAGAAACCCTGTCTTGAAAAACCAAAAAAACAAAAACAAAAACATAAAAACTAACCAGGCTGGGCGTTGGTGGTGCATGCCTTTAATCCCAGCACTTGGGAGGCAGAGGCAGGAGGATCTCTGTGAGTTGGAAGCCAGCCTGGTCTACAGAGCGAGTTCCAGGACAGCCTCCAAAACAATATAGAAACCCTGTCTCGAAAAACCAAAAAAAAAAAAAAAAAAGATAATAAAAATAGGTCTTTAATCCCAGCACTCAGGAGAAAGAGGCAGGTACAGTTCTGTGAGTTCGATGCCTACCTGGTCTACAAAATGAGTTCCAGAACAGCCAGGACTGTTACACAGAGAACCCTGTCCCGAAAAACCAAAAATAAATAAATAATAGGATGTAGAACAATGAACATTTGACATCAATTTTTTGACCTCTGTAAGCATGCACACATGTATATACACACAATAAATCAAATATGTGTGTGTGCGCGCGCGCGCCTGTGTGTGGTTTAATTCAGGCCAAACATGATATTGTGATTTGCCAAGGTGGTAGGGCTGGGCCTTGGCCATGGAGCCTATCTGTCCCCCAGGTCAACGGTAGGAGTCTGGTTTTGTATCTTGGGGCAGAAAGTAGCGTTGCAGTGTAGGCTGCAGGAGCAGTGGGGGCAGCGCCCGTGGGGGTGCAGGCCAACCTGGAGGAAAGGGTTGCAATTCCACTCGTGGCAGTGGCAGCTTCAGCAACCGGAGGGAGCCATCTCGAGCTGGGCCCCGGCGGTACAGCCTGTGACCTGGATGTAGGGAGTCAGGCAAGTGAAACTGTAGGCTGAGATTGAGTGGGGGGGGCATTAGAGTCCAATTCTTACCCCCTGTGCCCACTCACCCCTGAGAAACATCCTGAAGCTTTGTTGTTTGGTCTCCTGCAGCCGAAAAATGGGATAGAGCCTAAAGAAGGGAGGGGCTCAGTCAGACCTTCCTGTGCAACCCAGGCAGGGCCAACCCAACATGCCCACCATCATGCGCACCAGCGATCCTGGGGCGGCCGCACCACAACGTTGGGCCGTAGTTGGCCTAGGCGTGAGCTGGGTAAGCGTCCCTGTCCCTGCTCCTGCCCCTCCTCCTCCTCCTCAGTCAAGCTCTGCCTCTGCGCTTGTTTCTTCTCACAGAAGAAATTAAGCATGTCAATATAAAACATGTCCAGCATCTGAGAGCGTGACCACTCTGTTTCCTCCAGTGGCAGTAGCCCTCTTTTTAATGCAGTAGGCACAGAAACATGCAAGGGGTCCTTAGAACGGAAGATCGACAGTACATCAGCGAGCACTCTTTTGGTTGGTCGGATGCGTGAATGCGCCTTTGTGCTTGCAGCCTGGAGTTCTACGATAGGTAACAGAGGCTCCGAAGGTGAAGGCACAGGTGACACTGCCAGCTCGTGAACACGCAAGGACACTTCCGATGCTCGTGAGCGTGTCCAAGAGGTGCTTAAGGCAGGCAAGGGTGCCCCAGAAATGAGGGAAGCTTGCGAGGAGCCCTCCCTGAGGGGCTCCACAGAAACACTGGCTGCAGATTGCTCCAAGTTATTCACCTATAGGAGAGTGACCCATGAAGTAAGAACCCTTGTATCCATATCTCTGAAACTTCTTTCTGCTACAGTCCTGTCTCCAGAGAGAGGGTGCCTCCTTCAGCTCCCCCATCCCAGTAAAGCCTTCATTGTATAGGGAGCTCTTGAGAAATGTTTTGCTTGGAGGAAACCCAGGGGCGTTCCTATGGGCACCCACTAGTGGTCTTCTGGGAGACCTCTGAAGAAGGCAACAGGTTCCCACTAGGTGAGCCACCCTGCCCAGACCTGAAGCATAATCTCCTCAAGCTTCTGTTGGCATTGTGTACGTATCATGGCCTTGGAGTCAAGGTTGAAGTTCTCAGCCCAGCTCATCATCTCCTTGCACAGGAAGCCATGTGTGTCCTGGAGGCCCAGCGCATCCAGCAGATTCTTGAGTTCTTGCCTGGGACAGGTCGATGAGGCTTAATCCAGGTCTTCCCAAGCCAGTAGGGGAAACCCAGCAGGAGCTCAACTCACTGATATTCATCTGAAGAGTGTATGTAGTAGGACATAATCTCCAAAACTACATCGAGGACCTCCAGGCTACAAGCCAGGAGCAGCTGCAGGGCCAGCATCACAAACTGCTTCTGGGTCGGGTCCTAGGCTCAGGGGTGAGGCGGGGCTCAGGAACCGAGTCTTGTTCTAGGCTCAGAAGTAGGGCGGGGCTCGGGAACCGTGCTTGGCTCTGGAAGTAGGTGAGGGTGCAGGGTACCTGTGGGAAGACTCACCTGGAGGCTAGGGGGCTGGTCCATATTGAGCAAGTACAAGAGTTTGGCCTGCAACCGGGTGCAGAGTTCACTGCTCATAGCAGGAAACAGTCTCAGCAGGGCATTTAGGATGTTCACTCGTTCTGCCCAGGTACAATGTACCAGGAAGTCCACAAGCATCGAAGCCAGGCCCTCTATGGTGCCCATCTCTGGATAGGCCTGTGGGAAGATTTGCTGAAGCCCCGCCCATTCCCAACTCCACTCTACAATGCAGATTAGCCCCTGCCTCCTTGCTTTCCCTCACTCCCAGCCCCGGCTTCCCGGCTTCTCAGAGTCTTCTAACCTCCAGGGTAAAGATAGGGAACAGCTTTTTGAACCAGTTCTGGACAACAAAATAATGCAGGAACCTGGGCAAATGCCCATAGCGCTCTTCCAAGAGTGAGCGCTCCTCGTGGTGGTGGTGGTGAGCCGAGTGGGTCTTGGTCTTGGCGGCTCCATGGTAAGGTTTTGTGGCCAAGTCTGTGGGGCTCTAAGGGAAATGACAGAAGCTTCAGATTCATCTCTGAAAACCAATCTCACCCTTCATAAGAGCCTAGAGTGCCCACCTGAGTGCCTGGTTCCCAGGGTTCTGGCTGCCCTTCCGAAGCTGGGGAAACGGAGGTCCAGTCCAGTTCCAGCTCTTCGTCGCCCTCCTCACCCTCTCTGTCCTCTTTCTTCCGTGACCTACGGAGCCAGTGGATAAGTTTCTTTCGCCACCTGCCAGCAGAGTGCTTCCGGCACTTTAGCCACTGGTCATCCTGGCGTCTAGGTGGCTGCAGAAGGAAAGGAGAGAGCGTGTGGCGGCTTTGGAGATAGCCAGGAGCACCCTGCTAGCACCGAGCCCCACTTCTTGCCTTGAGTCTGCGCTGGGTAGAGAGTTCTGCTAGGGAGCCAAGGCAGCTGACCTCTGCATGCAACCACATCTGCCGCAGTATCACAGAGTTGGGCACACAGCCGGGAAAACTGATGGGCTGAGTACGTTTCTAGATGTGGGGGGCAACAGATCGCGTTGAGAATCACCGGGACATAACCAGGGGCCCCCATAACCAGGGGCCACCAAAACAAAACAAAACAGACTAACTGGTAGCCTCTGTTCTCAATACACAAATGGTTGGTTTAGCTTGGGAAACCCAATAGAAGGATAGTCGCATGGGCTATGAACTATAAATGAAGAGAGGGATCTAGAGGTGGTCGGTCCCTTGTGAGCACTAACCAATCACACGTATGCTCTCCAGGGAATTCAACCTAAAACCTAAAACAGGGGTGTCTATAAAAACCATGGTAGAGGGGGCAGGGAAGGAAGAAAGGAACTTGGAAGAGGTCCGTGTATTGAGTAGGTAGGCCTCCCTAAGATGGAAGGGCTAAAAATACACCTGAACAGGAAGGAATCTGCTATGCGCTAGGAAGGGGCGAGAGCCTGCCTGGGTGCCCAATGTGACCACGTCTGGGAAATGGTGGGTCTTGAGGGGCTGGCCCACTGGGTTTACTCCCAGAAGCTCAAGGACTCAGATCTCCAGAAAAAGTCTACAGGGAATGTAGCAATCCTGCCTGGAGAATGGTGTGCAGAAACAACCACTCGTGATGGACCTTTGGCTCAAGCCTAGTCCTAGACAGCATCAAGGAGACCACGCCCATAGCCACACCGGAACTGGCTAGGCTGAAGAGGTACAGGTTCTTAAGCCTTGGGCCTATAGGCCCTTAGGTCAGATTGGGACACAATGGCTTACAACAAAGGGAGGTAGGATATGCACAGAGTGACCTCTAGAAAAGGCCACCTCTGGGAAGTGGGAGGTGTAGGTCTCACCCTGTGGGGCTGTATAGTGGCAGGAAAGAAGCCCCCTAGATTTGAGAGAGGCTCTTTGGGTCTTCTGTGCAGCAACAGCGGAACCTAGGGAGGGACAGGGAGTAAGAACAGAGCACAGCCACCAAGCCCCTGAAACTGTCCTGGAATGGGGCCCTCACCCTATGCCGCAGGTAGTAGGATGATGTGTTCAGGTCCATGATCTTTCCTCCAAACTGATCCCACTGCAGCTGCAGATCCAGACTGAGGCCCAGCTCACAGCTCAGGGAGGAACGTGCTAGAAGCTAGGGTATACAAGGAGTTACAAGGGGTTGATGCAGGGGTCACAGTGTCGGGCATGGAGAGATATGGGAAGGGCAGAAGGCCCTCACCTGGGATGCCTGGCTATGCACCATCCGGGGAGTGGGTGGAATGGGCAAGGAGACTCGGGGAGGGCGGGCGAAGCGCCTGCCCGGGGCTCCTGGGGTTTGGAGGGCTGGCAGTGAGGACATTGGCTGATCATCAGCACAGAGTCTAGCCTGCCCACCACTGGTGGCAGCTCTGGGCTGGATCCCCTTGTCCTGGGACTCGATCTCTGTGATGGAGTCCTCAATGCTCCACTGCAGGTACTCCCTTCCAGATTTGATATCCTGGGACAGGAAAAACAGGAAGCTAGCCGGGTGTTGGTGGCGCACGCCTTTAATCCCAGCACTCGGGAGGCAGAGGCAGGCGGATCTCTGTGAGTTCGAGGCCAGCCTGGTCTACAAAGTGAGTTCCAGGACAGCCTCCAAAGCTACAGAGAAACCCTGTCTCGAAAAAAAAAACAACAAACAAAACAAAACAAAACAAAAAAACAAAACAAAACAGGAAGCTTGTATCAGATAGGGTGGAGGTCAAGGCATGGCCTAGGACTGATCCCACACCTACCAGCATGTCAGAACCATAGATCAGGCGTAAGTAACTGTCAAAGGCTTCCTGGCGTCCCTTCCAGGAGAGTGGGAACCGAGTTGACGGGACTACTCGTCCTTGCCTCAGGTCTTCAAGGTCTTCATCCCGGGCTATGATCTCCTTCAGGTCCTGAGGTGGAGGTTGGCGGTCAGTCCATGCTTCTTCGAAGACTCGCCATGAGCTTCCCAAGCAACCAATAGAGTTCAGGCCAGAGACTGAGACTGGGCATTGGGCATGGATGGGCATTGGGCTGGCAAAGGATTAGGACCAACACAACTCTACCTCCTTCAACACTGGCTGCTGAAGTATTGCTGTGCGGCGATGGATGAAGGGCAACGTCACACTGTACACAGAAACAGGCATAGGACTGAATTCTTGGCATTACCGGTGCGATAGGTTAGAAGCTGGAGTTAGGACCAGCCAGGATAAAGATTCTGGGATGATTTAAGATGTGGCAAAACCAAAGGAACCTGGGAACGCAGACAACTCACACTGGGAGCATACAGCTATGCAAACCCTGCCCCCAGGGCTACGTAGAACCCTCCACAGCAACTGGGCAGCCCTGACAGCAGACCTGAGGCTGGCTGCTCCGTGAAGACTGGCAAGCTTCTTCAAATGGGTGGATGTCATTGGATCCCAGATGTCCAGTGGCAGTGGAGGGTCATTCACCACAACGGGGGCCTTCTGACACAAATTCTGGAAAAGCAGGCAGAGCGTTGTTCCCAGTACCGTTCATGGGCAGCAGGCGGTCCCACCTTGATCGCCTTGACCTCGTTGTGTACCTTGACCAGATAGGATGTCGGTAGGTAGAGTTTGTGGGACACCAAGCAGAGGCGGGAACCTAGCGCAAGCACCAGGTCTCCACTGTTGCTGGAGAAGGCCAGGGCCTGAGGGGGACCGTCCAGCTGCAGGAGCCTGCAAAAGTGCCCAGAGTCTAGCCCCTGCTTCACAGAGTGGACATCTGAGGCAGTGGCAGGGGCAGCAGCCTATCCCCCTCGGCCCAGCCCCTGGTCTCTGGTGGAAAGCAGAGGTCAGAAGAGCTGACCTTTAACCTGTGGCTGCCCCACATACAGAGCCCCAGCCCAGCACACCGCAGCAGGCGGTTCTCCCAGGTCCAGATTCGGATGGTGCAGTCCAGGCTAGAGCAGGCATACAGCTTGAGGGTGGGGCAGCAGCAGAGGCCTAGGGGCAGAACTAAGGTTAGGAAGCAGTCGAGAATAAGGACACAGGCTTCACCTTTGCTCCGGTCTCCTCACCGGTGATATGGTCTATAGGGTCATCCTGTGGCCGGTGGTCCCAGCGCATTTTGTCACCCACGCCAAACTGCACCAAGCCATAGGTGGCACTTTGTGGATCCTCAAAGCCTACGGTGATGCGCTTGCCCAGAGCACAGAGGGCTACCACTGGGTGACAACAGGAGAAGGTGTGCAGCAGGCTCAGGCTCTCCTCAGCGTACGGGAATACACGCCACATCTTTACTGTCAGATCACCACCTTTGGGTAGCGGGGGCTGGGGTTGGGACTTCCGGAAGGTGCAGGAGCTCCCAGGCTGTCTCTGAGGGAGGGAGGGTACTACTGACCTGAAGTCACAATGCTGTTCCAGGTGGACGCAATAGCAGTCACTGGCCCTGGGCTGTGTGCCTCTGTACTAAAGATGGTCTCCGAGGTGCGCCAATCCATCACAGACAGTGTGCCATCAGAGTGCCCCATCATGGGTAAGAATCTGTGGGAAGTGATGGAGGCTGTTGGTCAAGGCTCTGTCACTAAGTCAGCCCCATTTTGCCTTAAGCCAGCCTCAGACAGCTGTGGTGCCCACCTGTTCTTATTTTTCCAGGCCCAGGCAACGGCGCTGCGTAGCATGTCACCCTTATTCTGGTGCACAATCTCCCAGCAAGCAAATGCACTGCGAGCATCTGTGAGGTGGCTGTAGAGGTGCAGGCAGCAGGGCTGCGGGGCAGGGGGTGGAGGTGGACGCAGGCGGTGTAGTACGACCATCGGGCACCGCGCCGCATTGGCACGCACCAGGTGCCCTGCCCGTGTCAGCACCCACAGCGCTTCTCGAGACAAACAGTAAACCACCCCAATTGCACAGTCCTCCGGTCCCAGCAGCAGGAGGCTCACGGTTTGTCCTGTAGCAGCTGACACCAGATAGACAGACCCATCCGCACAGGCGCACACAAGGCGAGAGGGCAGAGGCGGCTCAGCTGGTGCAGGGAGCACTGGTGCCACCTGCACATGGGTCACCGGCGCCGAGAGCTGTGCTAATGGTGAATAGAGGTCACACACACGCCACAGCTCCACCGACTTTGAGCAGAGAGCAAGCACTGGCCAGCCAGGCCCTGCAGGAGCCAGCAAATGGTGCACTCTCTCAGAGAATATGTCTTGATTCCAGCAACCCAGCTTTACCTCTCCCACCTGAGCTGCAGCCCTCAGGTCCCACGTGCGAAGTGTCCCATCCTGTGAGGCGGACACTACCAAGGAGCTGTTCCGGAGCACTGCCATGGCTGTCACTGGGCCTGCAGGAAAGGGCACATCGCAGCTCAAGGAGGAGCTCCTGGGACGCAGCCAGCACCGGAGAGGTGCAAGCTCAGGATGAAGCAGCTGGGCCTCGACAGCTGCCAGACTGTGGCCCACCTGTGTGGCCCACAAACACCATCCGGATCTGCCAACCAGCCTCCCAGACCTTCACGGTGCTGTCGCGGGAAGCTGTCACCATGGCTTGTACCTCCTCACAGTACTCCAGGTCTGAGATGATTCTACAAGTGAGAGAATGGAAGGAGGCCCAGTGGATTTAGCACAGTCCTGTATGTGGGTCCTATCGCCCTTGAAGTAACTGGCTCTCCTTAGGGGATCCGCCTCCCACCCACCTGTCCCTGGACTCCCCTCACGTTTTATGCAGATCCTGGCACACATTTATGAGAGTCCAGGACTCCAGATCAAAAGTGAGCACCGCCGAGCCATAGGCAGCAAAGCAATGCCGGGTGCGGTGGTCAGTTCCCGGCCCCAGTGCCAGTCGCTTGAGAGAGCCAGACAAGCCTGATGGTGGCCGCAAAGGTGAGCCACAGGACACCAGGCGGCGACCACCTGAACGGAACTTCCAGAGCTCCAGGCTTCCTCCCACCTGGGCCACCACCAGCAGTCCCAGGCTGGGCACTGGCAAGCAACAAAAAGGCTCGTGGCCCGGTGTCCTGTTCACCTGTGGCTGGCTCAGCCAGAGCTGGTGGAAGTCTTTCCCTAGTATGGCCAGTCCAGTTGGGCCCCAGCCTACAAAGCGGCCCACTTTCCCCAGAGGGCCAGGCACGGTCACCAGCCCGTGCAGCGCCACGGGGGCCTCCAGCTTTGCCTGCGCCCAGCCGTCCTTGGTGTGCTGGTGCAGGTACCCCGCACCATCGAGAACCACGAAGCGACCCCCCGCTGGGTCGGGCGCTACTGAGCACAGCCCAGCTGCCACCTCCAGGCGACGCAGTGGCTCCAGCCCGTGTGTCATTCGAGTGACCCGCAGCTCCGCTCTTTTCTCCTGCAGGCCAGAGCACACAGGTGAAGCATGAGCTCCTCTGCCTGGGGAAGCTTCAGAGGACCAGTGTCTCTACGGCAGAGACCTACTAGGAGCCTCACGGAGGGAGGGTCACACCTTTTCCACAACATCATGGAGGTATGCACGTAGGTTTAGCCACAGCTGTCGGGCTCGGGAACGCAGTGTCATTTTCTGCCACCTCTGGCTACTTCTAAAGAGCTGCAGGACCTGTGGTGCCTCCACCGGAGCCAATTCTGTAAGTCAGTGTAGGGTGTGGTGTCACTAGGCCTTGTGCCCCAGCCTTGGAGGTGGCAAGCCACCAGGAGCCCTCCTCTAAGGGACGATGGGTCAAGGGCTGCCCAGGGAAGCTCCACCTCCAGGGCTGGACAAAGCCTGAGGAACATCTGCTTCCTAGTGGGGTGCCCGGAAATGACAGGTGCCCTCACCATTCTTTTCTGAGAGCACCCCAGGATCTGGAACATCACAGATGTCCTGATCAAACAAGTCTGTGTCCAGGGCCGAGCTGTCGCCCTCTGATGGAAAGAGGCTTCTTGCGTGGTACAGCTTGTCCACCATGTCTACCATGGACAGTCCCAGAGGTGGCAAGTGTAACTGCTCTTGAGACTAAGTAACGGAAAAGCAGTAAGTGTTGCTAAGATACCAGACGCTTCTGGCCCCGCCCCATGACGCAGGCCCCGCCCCCACAAACGCGGAAGTGCCATCTAAGTCACAGAAACTTTTATTGGAAACGAATGAGCTGCAGCAAAGTGACACTCAGTGCATGTGGCCCACCTGGTAAGGTGGGGGGCAAAAGTGGGCACCAGGGGCTGGTCCAGGGCAGACCCCATAAAACACTGGGCACCGCACCACTAACAGGGCTTCATGTCACTGGCCCTTAGAGCTGGAGTGTACAGGCCCAGTAAGAAATACAAAAATAAACTCTGTGGTCCAGCTGTCCTGTCTGGCAGACCGTGGGTGCAGAGCAGTCACTTTTCTATCGGGCCCTGTGCTGTTTAATCAGCCACAGCACGGGAGTGAGAGCCTGCAGGGGTGTGTGGATGTCCACAGGCTGAAACCAAAGGGCAGCGCCAGGATGGTGGCAGTGCCGGGGTAGCCAGCATCTGTCTGGGGAGGCTCTGCAGCGCCTTAGACAGGTAGGTCCAGGATGGTGGCAGTGCCGGGGTAGCCAGCATCTGTCTGGGGAGGCTCTGCAGCGCCTTAGGCAGGTAGGTCCAGGCACTGGTCCAGGCTGAGACTCCACTTCTCCTCATCACATACAGATCACTGGAACCCTAGGCAAAAGGTGGCAAACAGTAGGACTTCAGGAAGTGCCACCCAGACCAGGCAGAGGGCTGATCTGTCCCACCCACTCCAGGCTCCAGAGTTTGGGGCCACAGCTGCAGGCGCCGCCACCTGCGCCACACCTGTCTTCCTCCATGGTGCTGGCCTCCTCGGCCTTGTCCTCACTGTCTCCGCCTCCACTCTCTTCATCTGCCTCTTCGGCACCCAGCTCCAAGTCCAACGCATTGCCTGCCTCTGAGGGCGTGTAGGTGGAGCCACTGGGTGGGGACAGAAATGGCAGTCTCAGGACCACCTGTCCCAGGCCTTCCCAGGGAGAGGAGAGCCTTAAGGAAGGGTGTGAGTTGAACAGGGGGACGGACAAAGGGAGGGGCAACGGTACCAACCTGATGGAGCGGCAGCTAAAGAAGACGATTCGCTTAAGACGCTTGTTGTAGAAGAAATAATTGAACGACCAGAGGCTCCCATCTTCCCCAAAGGGGTCTGAGTCCAGGTCTGGGTTATAGCTGAGAGAGAAGCAGAATAGTGAGGCTCCCGCCCACTGCCACGCACGCCTGACAGCTGCCCGCAAAGGTGTGAGCCCACCTGTAGATGTCACACTCGGCTAAGCAAATTTCCTCATCCACTGCGTTCCACAGCTGTGGCTTCAGGGCCTTGAAGTCTTCCCGGACGGCTGAGAACAGGCTGCAGTTGACTGCGTTTACCACCTACAGCAAGTTACAGTCAGGGATGACAAGGGTCCAGGGCACCAGGCAGAGGGCAAGAGCCTACTCAAGGCGATGGAAATAACTACAGGGTTCTTGGGTCCCTCTTCCATCCTTACCCAGCTGAGGCTGGGCTCCCGGCTGAACTCGTGACTCCTGGCTGTGCTGAAGTCATAGTCTGGTCTGAAGGACTCATTGAGTGTGGCAATCAGATAGAAGAGGGTCTTCCGGCTGCACTTGTCACTTAGAGGGCTTTCGTCCTCGCCACCCTGACTCTTGCTCAGTCTGAACAGAGATAAACGTCAACCTTGTTCAGCATCCCACATGCCCCAAAGGTTAGGCTCCACCTCAGCTTACCTGCTAGGGCTGAGACCTGAAGTTTGGGGCGGGGACAGTGCCTCCAGCACATGGGGCTGGCCCTCCTGGCAGAACTGCTTGAACATGTGTTTATCATCTCCTGCCATCTTACACGAGTAGCTTTCAATCCTACGAAACGCAGGCAGCATCATGGAGCACGCTGACCCTGAGGATTCAACTCGGGGGGCCAAGACAAGTGACCTCCGGGAGTCTGAGCCCCAGACCCTCCAGCCTCACCTGCCAATGATATGGGCGTCTCCAGTCTCCACGGTCAATTGTGAGTTGATGGCCTCGAAGCTGGAGTTCTCCAGCAGCTTCATGTCCTCTGAGATGGGGCTTCTTGTGCCAGAAGGACTAGAGCAGTGCTACCTGAGAACATGGGAAGCGCCGAAAGGCTCCACCTTCAGCCTCCCCACCCACGAGCGGAGCACTGTCTGCCGCTGGACCTAGCTGAGTCCCTCACGCACGCTCTCACCCTCTCCTGACTTCCCCCGAGCACTCAGCGAGGCCAGGTTCCAGCTCAATTCCAACAACTCTTACAGGGTACAAGAGTCCTGGAGCTGGCTAGGGGCCCCTACTCTGGATTCTCGAAGTTCCCTAGACCCATCGGCACCCTGCAGACACCCTCAGACTGTACTCAATCAGGGTAAGAACCTGCAATCTGGATCGGAACCCGGCACCTGGGGCTTGAGCCCCGCGGTTCTATGGGCTGCTTCGCTGCTTCCTGGCGAGAAGAGGAAACCCATGAGTGCTTCAGTTCTTTTTGCAAATATGCCTAATTCTCTCCTTGCACCCCAAAGTGCGCAGGGTGGCCCCATCGCCCCCGCTGGCTCAGACCAACAGTCTCCTGGCATTGCCGCCCCGGGAGCAGAGAGGCACTAGATTGGTATGGAAAACTACAAGCCCCAGGAGGCAGTGCACCCAGAGAGACACCCTGGCCAGGCAGCGGTAAAAACTACAAGTCCCATGAGGCAATGCAGAGGCGCGAGACCTGCCGGGGACTGTGGTTCCCACAGTCCGGGACCGCTCGGAGCACAAGGCAGACACCCACCTGCCAGGAATGGGCTAGATCAAGCCAGGCTATCCGGGTTGCTTAGCGTCGGTGCTGAGATGACCTCGGCGCGGGCTGAGCGCGGCGCGGGCTCCTCAGGACTGGAGGGCGGCGCCGCGGCCTCCACTCGGGCCGCACTGTATCCGGGGGAAGAAGCTTCGCGGCGACGTCCCGTTACTCCAGGCCCTGCCGGCCCAAACGGGCTGCAGCCGCGACATAGCCTCGTCCCCCTGCAGCACCCGCTTTTGCGACCGACCTGCCGCGGACCGCCAAAGAGCGCACCGGACACAGAGAACGAAAACAGCGACCTCCGCCTCCTCCCCGGGCCCGACAACAACAAGCGTCCGACAGGCCCGGCCCCACTCCTCTGAATGGTCCGCTCCAACCTCAGGCTCCAGATCTCGACAAGCCATTGGGGAAATCCTCCGCCACTCAGCCTTATCCGCCACTTCTACTGGCTGTGGCCCTTGTCCGTCTCGCTTACGAGCCCGCCTCCCCTCTTAGTGCTCATTGGTTAGGGCGGCCCCGCCCCGCCCCCGGGGGTCTACCCTGCTCCCGGCGGGGTACGAGCTGTGCGTGAGCCTCTGTGTTCGTGGTGTGCGCTGGCGCCGGGCCCTGGCCGCCTCCTGGTGTTGGCGCACGCCGGGCAGCCGCTGGCGCCCGTTCGAACCTTTGAGAAAAGCCCATCCTTGCCTTCGTTTTTGTGACCGGTGCTTGGTCTCTGACACCGTCTCTGGGCCCAGCTCAAACGTGCCTGGCGAGCCTGGAGACCCGTGGGCCGCCCACCCATCCCTGAGCACCGCGGGCGGGCGGGCGGGCCCAGGTAGTGCGCGGCCCGGGGCCCTTCCTGTCCTCCACGCCTGGTGCATCCGGAACCTAGGCCCACAGCCCGAGTTTCTGGCCGACGGAAGCGCTCGGAGGCTCTGGTGTCGCGGAAGCGCTCTCCGGGGCTCAGGACTCCGCCGCACCAGATATGGCGCCGCCCGCCGGCGGGGCCGCAGCGGCCGCCGACCCTAGCTCACCTGCGGTGCTCCTGGCTGTGCACGCCGCGGTGAGACCTCTGGGCGCCGAGCACGACACCGAGGCGCAGCTACGGAGGCTGCAGTTGAGCGCGGACCCCGAGCGGCCTGGGCGCTTCAGGCTGGGGCTGTTGGGCACCGGGCCAGGGGCGGTGAGTGTGGGTCCAGAGAGCGGAGTCAACCCCTTCTCCATCCCCCTGCCGGCTGCCCTGAAGCAGTTACTTTTCTTTGCTTGTCTGTAAAAATGGGGTCAGTGTGCCGGGCGGTGGTGGCGCACGCTTTTAATCCCAGTACTCGGGAGGCAGAGGCAGGAGGATCTCTGTGAGTTCGAGGCCAGCCTGGTCTACAGAGTGATTCAGGATTGGCTCCGTAGCTACTGAGAAACCCTGTCTCCGGGGAAAAAAGAGGGTGGTGGTGGTGGTTAATGCTTTCGTGAGGAATTGGTAAGGTAACAGGCAAGAAAGGTTTAGGCCAGTAAAGTGACCTCTAGTGTTTTCGTTTTCCTTTGATCTTCGGTGGATAAAGATGAGGACCACTGACCCAGCACTGTCCCCTCTTCAGGTCAGTTTAGAATGGCCCTTGGAGTCTATTTGCTATACCGTCCGTGGCCCTAACCAACACGAGCTTCAACCTCCGCCGGGAGGGCCTGGAACCTTCAGTGTGCACTTCCTCAACTCTCAGGAAGCACAGCAGTGGGCGGCACTGGTGCGAGATGCCACCGCGGAGGGACAAAATGGTCAGTGTCGTGGAATAAATGCTCATTTGAAGAAGTCCAGGCCTCCTAGTCGTGGGCGGGGACAGTGATAGGAGCTGGGCTTCCAAGAGGAAGAAAGTGGAGAAAATCAGAGGTCCAAGCGCCGACACCTTGAGTACCGGACACGCGTGAAAGGAAGAGCAAGCCTTGCTGCAGAAAAAGCAGTTCAAGAACCACAGGATTGTGTTAAGTGGAAAGCAGCAGGTTCAGTCTGTGCTGCTTAGAGACAGACTCTACAGTCATATAGAGTGGTGTAGACAAGACTAGAAAGAAGCCCAGAGGACCTTAGGAGACAGCGTTAGATAGGTTTCATGGTTGTTTAATCGGAGGAGATAGTGATTAAGACTGAGATAGAGGGACCAGTTCGTGTGAGGCTCGTACACAGTGTCTGCTTGGGGAAGCGTGGACATGGCTGGGGCTCTGGAGAGGTCAGCCAAAGTCTGAGAGGAAAACAGAAAAGACCTCCTTGCATGTGGACCAGTGGTCTCAACCTTCCTATTTCTATGACCCTTTACTATAGTTCTTAATGTTGTGGTGCCCTCCAACCCTAAAATTATTTCCTAACTGGCCAGGCATTTAATCCCAGCACTAGGGAGGCAGAGGTAGGTGGATCTCTGAGTTCGAGGCCAGCCTTGTGTACAGAGTGAGTTTCAGGACAGCCAGGGCTACACAGAGAAAGCCTGTCTCAGAAAATGGAAACAAAAGTGCACTTTAACTTGCTCAGCCATCTCCCCAGGCCCTCCCCCTCCTGGGCACTTTTAAATTATTATTTTTTTGGACTAAAATGTTTTGTGTGTGTGAATTTTTTCTCTACATGTGTGTCTGCACCATGTGCATACCTTGAAGGTCAGAAGGCATCAGATCCCCAGGGACCGGAGTTAGCGATGGTTGTGAACTTCTATGTGGTTTTTAAGAGCCTGGAGTCCCAGTCCCCTGCAACAGTAACAAGTGCACTTAACCGCTGATCCATTTCCATTTAAAAAGAGTCTGTAGACTCTTTTTAAAACCACGATCCAGGGTGGAAGAGATGGCTCAGTGGTTAAGAGCATTTCCAGAGGTCCTGGGTTCAATTCCCAACAACCACATAGTGGCTCACAACCATCTATAAGGAGACCTGGTGCCCTCTTCTGGTGTGCAAGCATACATGTAGAACACTGTATATATAATAAGTAAATAAAATCTTGGGGGAAAAAAACATGATCCAAACCTCTAATTTGCCCTCCTTGGAACTTTCATTTCTATTTTTTTGTTTTGTTTTTCAAGACAGGGTTTTATTGTATAGCCTTGGCTGTCCTGGAACTCTGTAGACAGGCTGGCCTTGAACTCACAAGAGATCTGCCTGCCTCTGCCTCAAGAGTGCAGGGATTAAAGGCATGCACTACCATCACCTGGCTTAAATGAGTTATTTTTATGTGCATTGGTGTACCTGCATGTGTGTCTCTGTGAAGGTGTCAGAATCCCTGGAAATGTAGTTACAAACAGTTGTGAGCCGCCATGTGGGTGCTGGAAACTGAACTCAGGACCTCTGGAAGAGCAGCCTATGCTGCCAACCTCTGAGCCATCTCTCCAGCCCCTGGAACTTTCATTTCTAGAGTAAATAAGCTTCAGTTAGATGACAGAAGGAATGAAAAGCTAGGATGGAGGGCCACTACTTAAAATAAGTCTCCCTGGGTGTGCTGTTGGAGGCTGGTGGATCTGTGTGACTGAGGCCAGACTGGGCTGCATAGTTTCAGGAAAGCCAGAACTACGTTGAGACTCTGTTTCAAAAAACAAAAGATACAAGTAAAGAACTAAAAAGAGGGGGTTGGAGAGATGGTTCAGTGGTTAAGAGCACTGGCTGTTCTTCCAGAGGTCCTGAATTCAATTTCTGGCAACCACATGGGGGCTCACAACCACCCTGAATGAGATCTGGTGCCCTCTGCTGGCATGCAGACTATGAACACAATAAATAAATAAAATATTTTAAAAAAACACTAAAAAGAAATAAGGTCTTAAGGACTTCTTGAGAGAATGAAATTTGAATAAGATGGCTTAAGTTATACAGCCCAGAATACAAGAAGTGACCTTCAGAGTTCAGGCAATGTGCCAGGTTCTTGGAATGCTCTACCCATTTCAGTGGTGAGACAGTTCAGCATATCAAGGACCATAGGTCACCACAGAGCTGTCAGCACTGGGTGGGGATCCCTTATTGCAGTGTGCTGGCTTTCAGCAGGAGATAAGTAGAAACAGCAGTATATCCAGTTCTGAAAGGATGCCAGGACAAAAAGTTAAATATTCTCTGTAGATTAGAGAGCCAGGAATAGGAAGACCCCTGAGGGTACTGAGTGGGTCACTCACTACAGGTCTGTTGTTGGGCAGGAAATGATAAGCGCCCCCAAGGGGTTTATTTGATTCCACTAAACAGGGCATGTACAGGTGGGACCAGGCAGCAGAAGGATTCACAAAGATTGATACCAACATTAAATCAGATGCAGCCCTGGTACCGGAATTCAGGCAGGACTTCTGAAGGTTTTTTTTTTTTTTGGTCCCCACCCCTTGTTTTTTTTTTTTTTTTTTTTTTTTTTTGGTTTTTTGAGACAGGGTTTCTCTGTGGCTTTGGAGGCTGTCCTGAAACTAGCTCTTGTAGACCAGGCTGGCCTCGAACTCACAGAGATCCGCCTGCCTCTGACTCCTAAGTGCTGGGATTAAAGGCGTGCGCCACCAACACCCGGCCCCACCCCTTGTTTTAATTTCATATATGAATGGGGTGTGTGTACCACCTGTATATCTGGTGCCCCAGAGGTCAGGTCACAGGACCCCTAGGAAATGAATTCTAGGTGGTTGTTAGCTACCATGTGGGTTCTGGGACCCAAACCAGACACCAAATGTTCTTAATGTTGATCCATTTCTCCTCTCCCACTGAGTTATTTTTGTTGTTTTGAGGGCCAATGTTGGGAGAGGAAGGCTTAGCCTGAATTATGGCCTAAGGATTGTGGGGTGAGGCAGAGAATGCAAAGGTCCTGAGCCCTGAGGGTGGAGGCCTCTACTAGTAGCCCGTTCCTATCTTCTCCCAGTCAGTGACAGCCCAGCCCCAGCCATGTGCCCCGTTTCTCCATCATGCTCTGTGGCTCAAATACCCAAAGCAACCCAACCTGAGGTGGATCTTCTTCAGAGCTCTGGAAACTTGAGAAAAGGTAAGGACAGACTGGGGAGCTGGGGAGCTGTGCTGGTGACCAGTTGTGATAGCTGTCTGTCTCCCTGTAGAAGAGCTGGCCACATGCCTGGCCCAGGCCATCGCAGGTGGGGACGAGAAGGCAGCAGCCCATGCGGCAGCAGCCCTGGCACAGCATCACGTGGCTCTCAATGTCCAGCTCATGGAGGCCTGGTTCCCACCAGGTCCCATCAGGTAGGGCCTGATCTTGCTTACTCTGCCCTCCTGACCCTCCCAGGTTAGTTGTCCAACCCTGTGATCTACACTTTGACACAGGCTGCAAGTCACAGTTGAGGATGCCACATCTGTTTTGTCCTCGGCGTCGTCTGCCCACGTGTCACTGCAGATCCACCCACACCGCTCCATTGCAGCGCTCCAGGATCAGGTCTTCTCAGAGTTCGGCTTCCCACCAGCCGTGCAGCGCTGGGTCATTGGGCGGTGCCTATGTGTGCCTGAACGAAGCCTTGCTTCATATGGGGTCTCTCAAGACGGGGACCCCGCTTTTCTCTACTTGCTCTCAGCTCCCCGAGAAGCTTCAGGTTAGTACTTTATGGGGGTAAGAGAGGTGGGGTGTTGTCTTGAGATGTCCCTGAGCCTTCTCCTCTGTCACAGGACACAGCTCTCAACCCTCCAGGATGGATGGGAAATTAGGACGCTTGTTTCCTCAGTCACTGGAGCAGCCTCATGCCCTCCAGCCAGCCAGTGCCAGTCTCCCATGTCCCCCTCAGGTGGGCAAATAACCCGAGCCTCTGGGAGTGGGCCACATGTGGGCAGTTGTGGGCACTGGAGATGGGTAGCATCAACAGTGTTCCTCATCTTCCCAGCCTGGCTGGTCCTGCCCTTCCTGCACCTTCATCAACGCCTCACACCGCCCTGGCTGCGAGATGTGCAGCACCCAGAGGCCCTGTACTTGGGATGCCCTCACTGCAGCCTCCACCTAGAAGCCACCAAAGGTACAAGAGGCTGGGTGGGGATGAGGGGACAGTGGAACAAATAGGAATAACCTGTCTTCTTCCCCAGGTTACAGAGAACATGACCCTCCTGTCACAGGCCCAAGTCCCTGCACCACCACCACTTGAACTTTGCTGGGGACCTCTGCTTACTGGGGACAGAGATGCAGGGTTAGGGGACAAGGGCCACAAGCCAGTAATTAAAGACACATGAGAACCAGCCTGTGTACTAGTCTTGCTGCAGAGTTGCACTGGTCCAGCTGCCTGGGGCACGGAAACAGATTCTACCCCTCAGTAGCACATGAGGTTCCCCAAACCACAATCAGGAGACTACTCAAGTCCCAGTAGCCACAGAACATAGTCCTGGGGTCTCTTTCCAGAGCCTTTAAGCCTACAGGTACTCCCCAAACTGCTGACCTGCTCGGGGCTCCTCTCATGAACTCTGGCACTATGGTTGCCCTTCTTGAATCCTATATCCCAGTCACCACCATTTCTAGCTTTTCAGCCAGTATACCAGCAGTGGGACTGGGTATTTTTCCTTCGCCATAAGGATGCTTTGGTGCTAGAAGTCATGGCTCTTATTTACCAGGTCAAGCTTTTGTGACCCTCCTGACAACCATCTGTCACCACTCACCATGCAACTTTATTTATTTATTTTGTTTTTCGAGACAGGGTTTCTCTGTATTGCTTTGGAGCCTGTCCTGGAACTAGCTCTTGTAGACCAGGCTGGTCTCCAACTCACAGAGATCTGCTTGCCTCTGCCTTCCAAGTGCTGGGATCAGAGGCATGGGCCACCAACGCCTGGCTACCATGCCACTTTATGAATCTAGTCGCAGCCAGTTTGGCCTAGATGTACTCTACCTAACTGCCCTGTAGACTACTGGGTATCATTCCCCGATAAATACCAGACACTTCCCACATGCATCTCCAGCACACCCCTTTTATCTGTGCAGTCAAGACTAAGGAGACATCCCAGGTACCCTCTGCCCATCTACTCCCAATTGCTCCACATTCATGAGAACTTCCTTATCCTCCCAGATAGACAGCACTGCCCCACCCAGCGCTACTGCTCCGGGTCCTTGCGAGGATTTGCAGGCTCCCTGCTGCCATCCGTGGGAAGTGCAGCTGGTGGACACTCTAATATCCTTTCTAGCTCTGCCAAGCCATAGCCATTCTGCTGGACAGCGATGCTTTTTTTTTTTTTTTTTTTTTTTTGGTTTTTACGAGACAGGGTTTCTCTGTATTGTTTTGGAAGCACTGCTTTTTTAATTTTTATCTTTTTGTTTTTTCGAGGCAGGGTTTCTCTGTGGCTTTGGAGGCTGTCCTGGAACTCGCTCTTGTAGACCAGGTTGGTCTGGAACTCACAGAGATTCGCCTGCCTCTGCCTCCTGAGTGCTGGGATTAAAGGCGTGCGCCACCACTGCCCAGCACTGCTTTTTTTTTTTAATAAAATATTTCTTTTGAGACTGTGTGCCTTTGGAGGCCAGAAGAGGGCATCGGATCCCCTGGGACTGGAGTTCCAGATGGTTTAGTCATCATGTGAATGACAGAAACTGAACCCGAGTCCTCTAAAAGTAGAGCTCGATTGCTAAGCCCTCTCCAATCCAAATGCTGCTGCTCTCAGCATCCAGTTTGTGCATTCTGACCCACATGTGTAACTCCCAGATACGGGGCAGGGAAGGAAACACTACTACAGGGAACTATGGGCTCCAGTCACTGAACAGCTAAAATGTATGTTGAGAAACTTAATTTATTCCCACAAGGAAGATCAGAAGCAAGAGTCTGCTCTCCTACCCCATTTCCTTGTATCAGATGAAAGGGGCTAGGCCTAAAAAGGCCTAGGGCTTCCTGGGCTGTAGAGGGTGTCTTCAGGCAAGATGACAAGCAGATACTGGACAGGGTCACTTGGGTGGCCGATATGCCAGTTTTCGACTCTTCAGAACTGACCATTTATGCCGCTTCATGGCATAGGTCAGGGGCAGCAGCAAGCTCATTATCAATAACATCTGGGAACAAAGCAAGCTTAGAGAAGGCAGACAGGAAAGACCCCTTCCCTATGCCCACTGAGACCCTTGCCCAGCCCTTCACCTTGAGCCCCATTCGTTTCCGATGGTCATGCTCTGGCTCCGATGCCCATCGAAGGAAGGTGGCAACATCCTTGGCTACTTGTGACATGGTAGCTGGGGTACCTGGGCCAAGGACAAATGGTGAGGGCTACCTTTGGGGACTTTTGCCAGCCCAGAGTAACCCTCTGTGCACTATGCTCCAGAGGCAGGGACTGGCCATTACCAAGACTTCAAAGGGATAGGAATCCTACAGGACTATGGAAGTTGTCTCCAAAGCCTTTTTAGATATGCACAGTTAACAAACATTCCAGATGGGAAGGGAGCAGATCTCTAGACCTAGGAATGTAAGAGAAGCATGCTGGGATAGGAAAGGACCCATGGTCAAGGACACTCACCATCATCATACTCCAAGACTTCATTGTAGATGGGAGGAGCCATACCAATGGCCTGGCCAGGAAAGTAAGGGTTGAAGTAGAGGCCTTCTCGCAATGACACCCCAGTGGGGGGCTCACAGTAGCCAGTGAGCAAGGAGAATACATAGTCCTCACCACCATGCCTAGAACCAGAACCGTGGCTCAGTCCTTAACACAAGCCTGACTTTCCTCCGTTTCCAGCCCCACACTCTAGGCAGCCCGTGTACCTAGCTCGAACAATGTAGCTGAGGTCCGGAGGTAAGGCTCCATTGTTAGCAGCTCTGGCAGCCTCAGGGTTGGGGTATGGTTTTGGAAGATAGTCAGACAGCTTCCCTGGCCTCATGAACATCTCCCCATCATCATTAGGGCCATCCTGGACCTCCACCTGCCACCAACAATTCCATCACAATCCTTTCAGTCACCCACAGTAGGAGCCCCAATCCCTGAATCCTCCACCATCTCTGGTCACCTCCTCAGCCAGCGCCTTAGCTTCCTCCTCCGTGTAGCACACTCCGACCAGGTGGCGGTAAGCCACATAATCCATGCTGTGGCAGGAAGAGCACACCTGCTTGTATACCTGGAAACCCCTTCGGATGCTAGAAAGAAAAAGGATTAGAGACGCTGAACATCTCAGTTCACCCAGAAACGTCCACCCCCACCCCGCTGCCACACACCCACCTGGCGTGGTCCAAGGCGGAGAGTAGGCCACGGTGAGACCACGGGTAGCTGGGAGGGTGCAGCTCCAGGTCACTGGCACTCACAGCAGAATGCAGAGCCACAGCTAGCCCCGCACCCCCTGCTGCCAGCATGCCCAACGCTGACAGCATCACCTTCCGGCCCCGGGAAAAGCCAGACTTCGAGGACAAGGACACTGCCTGCAAGAGCCTCGCTCAGCACCTGCCAAGACCCCACCCGCCCACCTGGGGATCTGAATGGGCGCCCATCTATCTCTTCCACTCAACCGCCCCGCACTGGCCACCGCCCGCCGCATCCTCGTGGAGCTTAACCCAGGAGCCAGGCCTAGGTGACGAGAGTGCGGCAGCAGCCAAGGTCACCCGCAGCCGGCTGAGGTCAGGCTGGGGTCACCTCAGGGCACCAGCCGGGTCTACGCAGCCAGCCTCGGGAGCCGTTCTGGGCGAGTCCTCCGCAGGAAGCTCCCGTCCCGACCCCACCACAGTCAGACCCTGGGCTCGGACCAGCGTGCCCTGTCGCCCCGAGGCGCGGGCTCGCAGCCTGGCTTCCCGAGTGCGCCGGCCCGCCAGCGGGGACCCTGCCGAGTCGGAGGAGGTAGGTGGGGGAGCGAAGCCGGCGCCTGCCCGGAGCCTCCCCGCCGTGACCTTCAGGGCTGAGGGGCGCGCGGTGGCCACGCCAGCGCCAGTACTCACCTGCGGTGTCCGTAATGGAACTTGCCGGGTCCGCGCGCCGCCCAGCAGGCCCGGAGCACTTGCGCCTGGAAGGCCCACGCCCCGCGGGCCCAGCACCGACCGGCGAAGCGAAGCCGCCGCCGCCGCCGCCATGTCGGCCCTCTTTAGTGCGGCCGCCGTTCCCGTCGGCCCCTGTGGGCCGTCGAGAACTCAGACCTCGCGAGACCAAGACAGTGGGCGGGCCCAGGCGGAGCTGGAGGGGACCTGTCCGTCAGAGGACCTGTCCTTGGGCAGCTCGTCTGGTCCAGGGGGAAGTTACCGGTGTGCCTGGCCGCGACTCTAATTTTGCAGTAACAACACCTGGGGTTTCTTTTTTTTTTTTTTTTGGTTTTTCGAGACAGGGTTTCTTTGTATTGTTTTGGAGACTGTCCTGGAACTCGCTCGGTAGACCAGGCTGGCCTCGAACTCACAGAGATCCACCTGCCTCTGCCTCCCAAGTGCTGGGATTAAAGGCATGCGCCACCAACGCCCGGCCAACACCTGGGGTTTCTTGTTGCTGTTTTTGCGCCTTCTTTCTCATTGCGTCCATCTTTGCAGCCGGCGAGTTCTTTGCTGTAGTCCCGGTTTCTTCGCCATGACCCCGTGGAGTGTCCAGAGCGCTAGGAGCTGCTCGCCACCCAGGCCCAGTGTGTCGGCTGTAGTGGCTCCCCTCTCCACAGGCAAACGGACGGAGAAATTCTCCCTGACCAAATTCCTTTTAAAGTCTCATATAAACTGCATATGACTCACTTCCTCACCGAGAACCCACCTAAATGGGGTACCCCATGATTTTCTGTCCTTCACAAAGCTGGGTGAAAACTCCCTTAGTAAGGAATCGATCACTCTGACATTTGGCGCTGCTTGTTTTGAAGTCCACATTGGCACTATGTAGGGGTGGTTTGGAGCGCTGCACTACAAGACTTCCTTTGCCGTTACTTTTAGGGCGATTCTAATGATGAGTTTGACCACATGAAACAAATGATCAGATATATCAGTTTTCAAGAGTAACAAAGCCCAACCTGTAAACTGGAAATGAGGAATCAGTGATTAGAAGCTATCCCCGTGGAACTGCCTTACACTCAAATCCTCTGTTCTCAACATGTTCCAAGCATTGCAGGGTACTTAATCCAAAGCACTAAAGGAAGGCTGAGGATATCACTCAGTTGGCCAAGTGTTTGCCTAGTGTGCACAAAATTTGGGTTCCACCCCGAGGACACACATATACACCCGCACACTAAAAAGGAAAAAACGACTTTTCAAGTACAGTAAAAGCAAAACAAACAAAATCTGGCATGGAAGCTTATGCATATAATTCAAGCATTTGGGAGGCCATGGTAGGAATACTGCCAAGAATATAAGGCCAGCCTGGGCTACATAATTGGAATAACAACAACAAAAAGACTAATTAGATGGCTCATCAAGTAAGGGCATTTGCCACTAAACCTGAGTTTAGTTCCAGGAATCCACATGATAGAAGTTAGGAACTGACTCCTGTAGATCGTTTTCTGATCTCAACATATATACCATGGCATGCATGGAAGCACACATACACACCATGAATTTAAAAAAAAAAAAAGCTCAGCACAGGGAGGAGATGCAAGCAGATCTGTGTGTTGGGGCCAGCCAGGGATACATAGTAACACCTTGTCTCAAAAACCAAGAAAACCCAAAAGGTAGCTGAAAATTGATCAAAAGCCTAAATTTAATTGTATATCACATTTACAATTTTATTGGAGAGAAGCATGCTCACACTCCATGGAGTGTGTGAAGATCAAAAGTTAACTATGGAAGTCAGTTCTCCTTTTCCTCCATGTGGGCCCTAGGGATTTAACTCCAACTTGTATGTTTGATAACAAGCACTTTTACTCACCCAGCAATCTCACTGGTTCCAACAGGTAAGTATAAAACTATAAAATAAAACTCTTGGAAGGAAATACCATAATAAATCTTTATAACCTTGGATTAGGTAATGGCTTCTTTCTTTTTGAGACAGAGGTTTTGTTTTGTTTTTTTTTTTCATAGCCCAGGCTGTGCTGAACACACTCTGTAGGTAGACCAGGGTGGCGTTGAACTCACAGAGATCATCCTACTTTTGCCTTTCAAGTGCTGGGATTAAAGGCGTGTACCACCACTGCCAAAAGCACAAATAGCCAAAGTAATATTAATAGTTTAGATTTCTTCAAAATTATTTTTCTTTCATCAAATAACTCTCGAAAATATAAAGGGTCACCCTGTGGTGGCGGCACTTGGGAGACACAGGCAAGTGGATCTCTGTGAATTCCAGACCAGCCTGGTCTACAAGAGCTAGTTCCAGGACAGGCTCCAAAGCCACAGAGAAACCCTGTTTCCAATAAACTAATAAACAAACAAAAAAAGTGGGGGTGTGGGGAGAAGGCCTATGATATATCCAGGATGCAGCACTCCTGAGGGCAGAGGCAGGAAGCAATCAGGGTTGTAATAGTCTTAAGGGTCAAACATTGGCAACTCAAGCATAATCCATGGGCTCCTACCCAGGTAGATTAGTGGTCTCCTTAGGGGATCCCGAGGAAACTTTATTCACCCCAATTGCAGTTTCCCCTCCCTCCACTCTTCCGCAAAGAACCTTTAAAAATTGTTTTTAAACATTTTGGTGGTGCAGTGGTGGCACTTGGGAGGCAGAGGCAGGTGGATCTCTGTGAGTTCAAGACCAGCCTGGTCTACAGAGCGAGTTCCAGGATAGCCTCCAACGCCACAGAGAAACCCTGTCTCAAAAAACCAAAAATTTGCTGAGCAGTGGTGGAGAGTGTCTTTAATCCCAGCACTTGGGAGGCAGAGGCAGGTGGATCTCTGTAAGTTCAAGAACAGCCTGGTCTACAAGAGCGAGTTCCAGAACAGCCTCCAAAGCCACAGAAACCCTGTCATGGGAAACCAAAAAAACAAAAAACAAAACAAAACAAACAAACAAAATTTTGTGTATATGCCTATATGCATGTCAGAGGACTACTTGTGGGGGCCTGGCCCTCTCCTTTACCCACTGAGCCGTCACTCTGGCTCCAAGTGAAATTCTTTGACAACCACATGTACCCAAGGCCAAGAGGGACCACACATGGGAAGACAGGCCCCATCAGAGAGGCGTCTAAGAGGAGGGTCCTGAGTTGGCACCTCTAGACCTGCTGCTTGTTTTTTTTTGTTTTGTCTTTGGCCAAGGCATTATTGCCTTCCAATGTGTCCCCAGCCTAGGCCCCAACATCACTCCCCAAGGCTTATGACAGGGCCCTGACATCACTAAGAGTCATACTTCTTTCCTTCTTACACAAAAGGTGCTGTCCCAACAGCCTGTCAGTGTCCCCATGCTTTGGGGATCTCCTTTCTCATTCTATTGTTTCTGGGTGCTGGCTAGAGTTTGAGCACCCCCTCTTTCTGCCATGCTGAGCTCTGCCTCCAGTGGGCACCTCACGCTGGCGTGTGCTACGATGACTAAGTGGAGCCTGGTGTTCCTTCTACTCCATACACAGCCCACACTAAAGTTCTAGCCTTGGCTGGAAACCCTGAGCCTCCTAAGACTCCAGCTTCTCTGTCCCCTCAGCGCAGGCTAAGGATGGTGTTGTCTGGTCTCTGGGTGCCTCAGCTCCTGCAGCTCCTGCCAGCCTCTCAAAAACCTGGCTGCAAATTATATCCTGCCCCAGAACTGTTTCTAGCATAGCACGAAGAGTGCTGCATGGGAATGCCTGGGCCTGGTTAGCCACCCTGCAGGACTGTGTGTGCAGTTGGGGATGGCTTTGTACTTGCCCCTTCAGAGTCCACCTGAAGCTCTCTACACGTTGATGGGGCCAGCCTCCCACTTCAGCCGTCAGGATAGAAGCACCAGGGACTCCACCAGAGAGGTGAGTAGGAATGCCTAGCCAGTTGCTAGGGGCTCCTAGTAGACAGTGGGCCCAGATCCAAAACAACACAACAGAAACAGAGATCTTGTTTATTTCCCAGGAGGAGGTAGAACAGAGGCTCGGGGATCCCTGTCTCGGAGATCTTACTTCCAGAAAAGAACATTCCAGAAAAGCAGCCAGCAGGGGTATAGACCCAAGGCCAGTATTGGGAAGAGGAGGGCGCCATAGGTGTGGTGTTCCAGCACGCCCTGGGCCAGTGCTGTCAGGAAGAGCTGCCAACCTTCCGCCAGGGACAGTGGTACTTCCTGCAGCTCCCGCCACAGGAACAGACTACCAAGGAGTGTGACTGCTGGGCTTGTTATCACCAACAGGGCTGCATAGAGTGGCCTGGGCGGGAGGGCAACATTCAAGTATGTACCGCGGTGAACGCCAGAGAGTGAGCGAATGAGGGTTAGCTGTGGCGAGGGGAAAAGGTACCGGCAGAGAAAAGGCCGAGCAGCCATACATACCGGGGTCCGTGGGGCTTGGTGAGTGCAGCAGCAGGTATCATGGTGGCGGCCAGCAGGAAGCCCAGGGAGAAATTAGTGAGGGCAATGCAACCCAGCTGCAGTGCCAGGTAGATGAGGGCCACCAGCTTCAACGCCATCCAGCCTCTGTCTGGGACCTGTGAGCTGACCACTCTACAAGGTAAGAAGTCCAAGGGTAGCCCAGAAGCCGTCTAAGTATGCCGGGGGCCACCTGTCCAGCCCAGCTGCTCACCGGTGGGTGTTGTGCGGAAGGGCTAGGCCAGCCGCATAAATCGCTAGCAGTGTCAACACGACAGCTTCAGCTTCAGCCACGGGAAAGTGCTGAGCGGCTACACGCTGGCCCAGCACCGGCAACACATAGAGGGCCAGGCCCATGGCTTGAGAGATCAGCAGGGGTGCCATAAGTGAGGCCACGCCCACACCCTGCAGAGAGCACACGGCAACTTAGCCGAAAGCATCCGGGAAGCCCCTAAAGACTCACAGGACCCCCTCCCGCAGCTGAGGTCACGTGGTGACAAAGCACTGCTGGGGACTCTAGAAACCCTCTCTAACAGCAATGGCGTGTAATATCACCTGTGTTGCCAAGGGTGGAGACCCAGGGCCAGGAGCCTTCCCCGCGTCCTCAGGGCTCACTCCAGCCTCGTGTAACTGCATCCACAGCTCCAGGGCATGGACCAAGTCAAGGACCCCAACAAGACCTTGGACGGAATTCGCTAGATGGGAGATGGCGGGCTCACTTCCCCACCCCCACAGCAGGATGAAGGGCTATGCCCAGCTCATAGTTAAAGGCATTCGAGGCACAGGTGAGTAGTGAGAACAGGGGTGGAGGATATCTTAAGTCCAAGGACCAGGAGCAAGAAGCCCATGGCAGGCATGTAGAGTCCGATGGAGACAAAGCGCGAGAGGGCGGGCAGCAGGTAGAAGAAGAAGGACTGGTGCAGGCGCTCCAGGAGGTGGTTGAGCTTGCGGAACATGCCCTCCAGAGCCCTGTCAGGAGCAGTCAGGTCAGGCCCGCGTGCTCGCCCAGCTAGACACCGCCTTGAACGTGAAAGGGATCCAGACACTTACTTGCCCACGGCCTCCAAATCATACTTGTACTGGCGGAAGCTATTGATGCCACGCAGGGTTAGGGCTTCCACTCGATAGCGCAGGAACAGACCGTGGGGGCCGTGGGGCCGGCCGGAGGCCTGCCGCAGAACCATGAGCAGCAGTGTCTGCAGACCCTGCAACGGCCCTTCCAGTGATGTCCAGTCCTGAGGTTGCAGCTTTGGAGGCACAGAGACAGGATCAGGTTCACTCCTCATCACAGGCCCCATGCTCCCAAGCAGGCGGTCCCACCTTGCCCTGGAGTGTGCATAACAGCCCCCCTTTCTGGCAGAACGTCTGGAAGAGGTTCAGCAGATCAAGGTTGGGCAGCTGACCATTGAGTCCCTCTACAGTCACATCAAGACTGGTGACCACATCACTGCTCAGCTCCAGGGCCACAGCTGCCTGAATGGCTCCAGCCCTTCCCTGCAGGGGAGACGACTGTACGCCTGTAGGAGCAAGCAATGAGCACCAGAGGGCGCACTAGTGAGGACAGTTGACACGGAGACACACGAGCAAGGGAGGAGGAACGCCTACCTGTAACGTTAATGTCATGGTAGGCTTCAAGCCAAGCCTCAGTGCCCACGAGATCATGCTCTGTTACCAGGAAGATTATATCTTTGGCCCAGTAAATCTGCCCTGGAAGCCAACGGCGGGGTCAGCAGGGCCTGGGGCACTGGTCAAATAAACCACCCTCCCTGACCAGAGCCCTAGAGCCTCACCTCGGAAATGGGCAGCAAGTGCCAACAGCAGCCCCACAGCCTGGCTATTTGTAGAGTCTGGACCACAGGGTACAGTAAGTACCAGAGACTCGGTGCTGGCGGCACGTGGGGCCCGCAGGATGCCATACACATTGGTACCTGACACCATCTGCACAAAGTGTTGGTGGGAAAGCCTCAGCAGACCCTACCGAAGACAGGCTGACGCCTGCCTTCTTTCCTGGCACCACAATGCCCACGACCAGAGGTTTTCAGACCACCCCTCCCACTGAGTTTCTTGGTTCCAGGGTACTTCAACAAGACACCCGGTTCAGGCCACCCTTCTAAAGCGCTTTTCTCCCGGGCACACCCCTTTCCCCCCCATACATAGCGCTCATGGGTCTCATCCGGGAAGGGCAGTTTGCGGGAGAAGCTCTGCGTGTAGACCTCCAGTCCTACGGATCGCATCGACCGCTCCAGCCAGGCCACTGGCAAAGCCCTGGAGACACGAAGACAGCCTCTCGAAACAGTGCTCCATGGTGTTGGCCGCCCCTGATGTCCCCAGCCCTCTGCTAGGCACTCACCCCGACTTCCTACGGTGCGCAGCGAAGTCCCGGGCAAAGCTCCGGGCGCGGTCTCCGCCTACAAACTGCTCCTCCACCATGGTGGAGCCCATGGCGTTCTCCGACATGTAAGTGCGCTGGGTTAGGGGCGGGAAAGCCAGCGCCAAAAACCAGGCGATGCCAGCCACGTAGCTCAGCACGCTGGGAGAGAGCACAGAGGGGTCCCGGAATTAGCTCGACCTGGGACGCCCGCTCGTGGCTTCCACCACTACCCCAGGGGGTCGACGGAATGGCCCAAGCCATGAAGATGCCGAGCCACTGTATCAGGGATGGATCGGGACCAGAGTCCAGAGCCTGAGAGACGCCTGCAGAAGGGGCCAGCTGCCGGAGCCGCAGCCACGAGCGGACCCACAGCCGCTCCGGTTCCCGGGAGTCCCGCCCCCGTCCCGCCCTCACCAGAGCGGAGTGTTGAGGCGCAAGACGAAGCGGGCAAGCGCGCGCCGCCGCACCGGGTCCGACAGGAGCCCCATGGCCGGGGCTGGAGCTCCGCTCAGGCCGCCACCGCGACCTCCGAGCGCGCTCGGTTCCCGTCAGAACCGGCGCCCCGTGTAGCCTTTACTTCCGGTCCCAGGATCCGTCACGCCAATACGCATGGTAGGGGCAGAAATCACTAGGAACCAGGTTTTGCGCATGCCTAAACTGCATAGGCTGGACAGCTACAGGATGTGATCACGGCCGTGGGCGGAGCTGGAGCCTGGGGCTGTGGAGTCGCAGGGGAGAGGACCGCGGAAGGGCAGGCTCCTGGCAGAGCTGAAGACAGCACAGCCGAGTGCCAGCCAGAAGGTTCTCAGGAGTTTGAGAAGACGGTGTGTTAGGCAGGTGGGTGGAGAACTATCGACGAAAGGTTAACTCACATGCCTTCTGAACTGAGATGTGAATGATCGTGTTATGGCATAAGGGCCCCAGGTAACCTGAGTATCGGGCATTGAATCATTCCTATGGATGTCTAAAACTGTAATACAGCGGTGGGCCCAGAATCAGGGATGTCTAAAACCGTAATACAGCGGTGGGCCCAGAATCAGGGATGTCTAAAACTGTAATACAGTGGTGGGCCCAGAATCAGGGATGTCTAAAACTGTAATACAGCGGTGGGCCCAGGGTCAAGGCCAGACGCAAGGGTATACTACCACTGGCCAAACCGAGGTGAGCGGAGTACACATCGGAAAGCCATATTGCTTTTGTTCAACCACAAGGCACCTGCATAGTGGGCAAGGTGGCGGGCAGAAGGCAGTTTGTCTAAAAGGGTGCAGAGGTCAGGGTCACAGCTAAGGATAGATGGCCAAGAGGCAACGAGAGCTTGTTGTCCTTTTAGAGTTCAGGTGGCAGGAAAGGACCAAGGAGATTCCTGAGCAAAGAAGGCATCGGGCCAGCGGTTCTCAGCCTTCCTGGGGCTTAACCCTTTGATACACTTGCTCATGTGGTGACCTCCAACCATAAAATTATTTCATCGCTACTTCACAAACATAGCTTTGCTATTATGAATTTTAATGTAAATGTCTGGAATGCAGGGTTGTGACTCTCATGTTGAGAGTTGCCGCATTAGTCTGGTCTGGTCTGACATCTCTATGATAGGTAACCATAGCCAGTTGAGTTCTCCCTCAGCCTTGTGCTCAGGTCCCAGGCGGGCTTCGAGAACGTGGCATATTCCTTAGTGTGAGAGCCGAGGCACTGCTGCTCTTCCTAGCACAGGTGCTGTCTGCACGAGGGACAATGCTCCATGCTCTGCTCTGCAGGGCTCTGAGCTGCTCTGCAGGGCTGTATAATAAGGTGTGCACAGCAGGGGAACAGGCCTTTATTCTGGGTAAGGGCGGTTGGCACTCAGTCCCCCAGCAAGACAGTGGCCTCCTGCACATGCTGCCGGACCACACGATCCAGCAGAGTGTGTACATCTCGGGCTGCCTGGGCAGCAGCCTCCAGAACCTGCTCCAGGTGGTCTTCATGCAGCCTGGAATCCATCTCAAGCAGTGCGATCTGGCCTGAGGCCGGCAACAGGGCCAGGGCCAGCTGGGGCCCCCCAGCTGCTTCCTCCACGTGGCTGAGGTCCGCCAGGGCTGTGCCGTCCACAAAGCCAGCCGAGCACGCGCACACAAAGTCCCGCATGGGTATCCCCGCATCCATCACGGCCAACGTGGCTGCGTTCACACAGGCTGCATAGGTTCCACCGTCTGCCTGCAGCACCTGCAGGGGCATCGGGACGGCAGGCTCGCATCTCAACCCTCAGCGCGTCAGGCCCACCTCGTTTACCTCTGAGCCCGCCCCGGCGGCAGCGGAGGGGTTCGGGGCATCGGGACGGCAGGCTCGCATCTCAACCCTCAGCGCGTCAGGCCCACCTCGTTTACCCCTGAGCCCGCCCCGGCGGCAGCGGAGGGGTTCGAGGCTGCGGGGAGCTCACCTGCACGTAGATGTCGATCTGAGAACGTGGGTGCAGCTGTGTGAGGATGGCTGCCTCAAAGGTCTGGCGTAGTTGCAGCCCCATCTCACAAGACTTGCGGTCCCCATGAGGCCGTCGCTTGCGCTCACCGGTGCTGAAGGTTGCAGAACTATACTGACAGTTCACTAGGGCCCGGTCAGGCAAGGCCCGAGACCTGGAGCCGCGGATCTAGAGGAGACATGAACACATGAGGCAGGCCTACCTCCTGGGTTACACTCGATCCTCATGGCTCATCCTTTCTCCTCCTCTCCCTCTAGTGCCTCAGAAAGCAGCAGCTACTTTGCTTCCAATCCTAGCTGGAGGGTTTTCAGCCTAAACCACGAGTCACCTCTGGCAGGCAACTCTCTGTTCTTCCATAGCTTCATTTCCTCCCCAATCATTCCCACTGTGGCCCCTGCGCTTACAAACATCTGACCCGTGTCACCGACACACTGACAATTTACTTACCTACCGGAGGCTCCCCGTTACGTGTAAAAGAAAATCTCAGTTTCCCTGACCCTCAAAGCCTTGGGTCCTCTCGGTAACTACTGAACTTTAGTTGACCCATTGCCTCTCTATACCTAGTTACCTTTTGCTGGCCCGGACACAGCACCGAGACACAGCAATAAAGGGAGACAGTTTCATGGAGAGTCCCCGTCTTTGGGGTTTTTCTAGTCGAGAAAGAGGCGAGGCGGAAGGCTCAGCAAAACCGATGTGGTTTAGTAAGCGCAGATCGGCAAGCAAGAGCACTGCAGTGGCCTGGAAGCTTCTTCCCGCCAAGAAGTCAGACCAATGCGCTGAGAGAGTGGAGCTTCGCCAGGCCGGCTGCGGCACCTCCAGAGACTACGGGGGCCCACTGCGGAGAGGAGCCCGCTCCCGGCCCCTTACTCGCCTCGTGAGGCCCGTAGACCACCGCCAACGCCTTGGTGTTGCCCTGCTCGATGTACGCCGAGCCGTCGGCCTGCGCAAACACGCCCATACGCGCTTGGATCTTGCGCAGCTCGCCGGCGCGCCGACCGTCTATCCGGTAACCCTGGTCGGACAGGAGCTCCAGTCCCGCCATGTCGTGCGAACCTCGCTCCGCTTCTGAGAGCACAGCACTCTAGGACCCCGGCCTCCACCACCGACGGCTTCCGGCGGTCCGTTCCTTTTTCGGTCTCGGTAAACTGCAGCTTCCGGAGAACTAGTCCCTTTCCGGTCCGATGGAACTACAGCTCCCGGCAATCTCGGCTTTCTACACGCACGGTTCTGGCCGGGGACGGACGACCCGAGCAGAGCTTTCTGGCCGCTTCTCCGGGGTAAAGGAGGAAAACCCCGACGCCTTCGGCTTGTTGGAGGCTCTCTTCCCAGCGGAGACATTTTTTGGTCTTTCTTACTTTTTAATTGCGTATCTTCATTTTTATCGTATGAGTGTTTTACTTGCGTTTATGTCTGCTCTCACGTCAGTGCCTCGTCTTGCGGAGGTCAGAAGGGGGCGTCAGATCCTCTGGGACAGGAGTTGCAGGCTCTGTGAACCGCTGTGTGAGTGTTGGCGATCGAACCTGGGTCCTGAACAGTTTTTGGTCTTTTCTCTCGTGTAGTTTTTACACTGGTCAGTTTAACCAAGCACGGTTCTGGGGGGGGGGGTTGTTTGTTTTGGTTTTTGGTTTTTCGAGACAGGGTTTCTCTGTGTAGCTCTGCCTGTCCTGGAACTCACTCTCTACACCAGGATGGCCTCAAACTCAGATCCACCTGTCTCTGCCTCCCGAGTGCGTGCGCCACCGCCGCCCGGGCAAGCATGAGTTTTTTTTGTTTTTTTGTTTTTTTGTTTTTTTGTTACAGGTACACGTGATTATTTTCTTTGTGGAGCAGTTTTTAGTTTCTTTTGTGTTTGTTTGTTTCATTGGCTTGATTAAATCCATTACTTTCCCTCACCGTGACTGCAAATACAAAACGCCCGTAGTACAGCCTGCATGGCTGTATAGCAGCTTTTGGAGTTCTAGTTATTTATTTTTGGTTTTTAGAGATAGGGTTTCCCTGTATTGTTTTGGAGGCTGCCCTGGAACTTGCTCTGTAGACCAGGCTGGCCTCGAACTCAGAGAGATCCATCCTCCTGCCTCTGCCTCTCGAGTGCTGGGATTAAAGGCGTGCGAGATCAATGGCCTGCAGAGTTCTAATTATTTTTTAAGATAGGACCCTTTAGTAGTCACCTTTTCTAGAGTGTTTTCACTCAGAAAATATGAAATCCAATAGTCCTGAGGTTTCTTTGTTGTTGCTTTTTGGAATATGGATGTGTATCTCAGGTTGTTGTTGTGGTTGTTCTTTTGAGTCTTTATGTATTTCAGGTTGGCCTTGAACTGGCAGTCTTCCTTCCAGAGCCTTCCTAGTGCTGTGATTGTAGTTGGGGCCACATCTGGCTTGGAGTTACTTTTTGTTTTGTTTTATTTTTCGAGACAAAGTTTCTTTGTGGCTTTGGAGGCTGTCCTGGAACTAGCTTTTGTAGACCAGACTGGTCTCCAACTCACAGAGATCCGCCTGCCTCTGCCTCCCGAGTGCTGGGATTAAAGGAGTATGCCACCACCGCCTGGCTGGAGTTATGTTTTTGTTGTCTGCTTCATACCCATGGGGTAGATATAGCAGGTTGTATTCCCACCATGTCCTCTTAAACTGCCACATGTGACCAGGGACTTATAATTAAGGGACACTGTCCCTAGCGGAGGGCTCCTGAGTCTGGATTGTAAGTGTGTCTTCTTTTCTCACCCAGAGTAAATAATAATGTTGTGGTGGTTGTTTGTGGTGGGTGGCTGCGTGCGTGTGTGTGTGTGTGTGTGTGTGTGTGTGTGTGTGTGTGTGTGTTTTAAGATAAGGTCTTGCGCTGGGCGTTGGTGGCGCACGCCTTTAATCCCAGCACTCGGGAGGCAGAGGCAGGCGGATCTCTGTGAGTTCGAGGCCAGCCTGGTCTACAGAGCGAGTTCCAGGACAGCCTCCAAAGCCACAGAGAAACCCTGTCTTGAAAAACCAAAAAAAAAAAAAAAAAAAAAAAAAAGATAAGGTCTTGCTATAGCCCCAGCTGGCTTAGAACCAAGAGATCCTGCTGCCTCTGCATGCTTAGTGCTCTACCACACCTGACAATTAAAAAAATCAGCTATTTGTGTTCATGCTTGCGGAGATCAGAACACAACTTTGTGGGATCAGTTTTTCTCTTCTCACCTTTATATGGGTTCTGAAGGTTGAATTTAAGTTGTCATACTTTGTGGCAAGTGTCTATCCAATGGCCTATCCCGATGGTCCCTGATATTGTTGATGTTATAGATAAAATACAGATGTACAGAAAGGAAACTGGGATGAAATTACCCTTCAAATGGACTGTATTAGGATAATTATGGCATCATTGTCACAGACTGCGGTGACGAGGGCCTGAATGGGGAGAATAAACATTCAAAGTGTTTGTTCTAGAGAGATGGGTGTGATGTGTAGCATAACAGGGGCCCTGAAAGGAAAGAGCATTCAGCTCTGAAGGATTAGGAGAGTTAGAACATCACACCAGCCAGGTGTCATGGCACACGCCTTTCATCCCAGCACGTGGGAGGCAGAGGCAGGTGGATCTCTGAGTCCAAGGCCAGCCTGGTCTACAGAGCGAGTTCCAGGACAGGCTCCAAAGCTAAACAGAGAAACCCTGTCTCGAAAAGCAAGCAAGCAAGCAAACAAACAAAACACCACAAAAAACAAAAACATTCCTGAGTATAACCACCTGTGGTAAGAACCAGCAGTACACTAGAATCCAACAGGGACAGCAGGTGCTGGGGCCGCCCTGGGGTGCTGAATAAGGGCTGTTGAGGGTCAAGGTCTGAAGATGGCTCACCCAAGCTGCATCAACAGAGGCTGACTCCTATTATCTGGTGCTCAGCTCTCATGAAAGCACAGCCGCTGTGCTGGGGTTGTTAGGGTCCCCGTAGTAGACTGTTCCTCCACCGCAACGCAGTATATCCAGCCTGTCTGCTTCCTTGTAGGGAAATGTTGACAACCCTTCACTGAGGGGTAGGGTCCATGTCCCCCACACTGGTCGTGTTGAAAGACCCCAGGCGGGGGACTTTCACGGGAGGGAGACCCGAACCCAAGGAACACCGAGACCACGAGCTTGGATGCAACAGCAAGAGGCTTTATTGATAATACACGGGTACCCGGGGCATCTCAGTCTCGGGAACTGAGAGCCCCGAGCTGGGGACTCAGGGGTTCTTTTATAGCAAAAAGCGCAGTACAGAAGCGAGAAGCCTAGTTACAGGACCCTGATTGGGCAATTTAAATGAGGCTGGGGCTCAGAACGAGGGCAATTGAGGTTTTGCTTGGAACTCAAGTCTCGGCCTTGGCCCTATCTGAGGAACAGTAGGTCTCTGTGCTTGCCCAATCTTGCTGGGCTGGCCATCTGGTCGCAGCAGATACCCAGCAGCCTGTATCCTTGGGCAGAGCTCCCTTCTGATAGCAATGACTATTCAGCTGTGGGGGAAACAGAATTTTTCATAAGCCTCAGCTGCCTGCCTGTGTAGACTGGGCCGGGGTCTTTCATTCCCCCATTGCTCTTGTAACTGAATGGAATCTTTCATTCAAGGGTTTCTGCTATCTCGAAATCCCTTTGTTTTAGCTGCTGGTACTGTTGGGTTAAGACCAGGGATTGTAACCTTTCTTTTATGAACTGGGTCAGTCTGTTTAAGATGTATTGGCCCAAACATCAGAACCAAAAGTATAATGATCAGGGGTCCCAATCTTCCCCCACCAGATCACATAGATCAAAATATAGGGTGGGGAAGGTGTCTGTCAGAGCCCCAAGTTGGGAACTCAGGTTTGCAGTATATCCCGTCCCCAGATTGGTTATCACCCAAGTAATATTGAATACTCGGTGAGGACTTCCCTCAATAAGGGGAAAGGTAAGCATGAAGCATAAGAAGGCAATCAAACAACTCGGGAGAGTCTTATCTTTAGAAGATTTTGAGTGCGTTGGGCCTTTCATCCTGAGTCCGGTTCCTCAGGGAAGGCAGCTTTTACGTGTGAGGCATGTATCCAAGCAGCAATCCCGTCCACCTTGAGAGCAGGAGGGGTGGTCAACAGGACCGTGTATGGTCCCTTCCAGCGGGGTTCAAGGTTCTTAGCCTGGTGGCACCGGACCCAAACGCTGTCTCCCACGTGATAGGAGTGGGGGACAATAGAGCGTCTCCTCTGGTCTCGGTAGGCTTGGGCCAGGGGCTTCCAGACTTCCTGCTGGACCAGCTGGAGTGCCTGCAGGTGAGCTTGAAGAGAGGAGGAATTGGCATAGTCAGAAATATCTTGGTCAAAGAACTGAACAAAGGGAATAGTGGTTCCATGTAAAATCTCAAAAGGGGTGAGGCCATGGGGGCCCGGTGTATTCCGGACACGATAGAGGGCAAGGGGGAGCAAGAGGACCCAGTCTTTAGTGCCAGCTGCAAGCGATAATTTAGTTAGAGTCTCCTCAATGGTTCTATTCATTTGCTCTACCTGTCCTGAGCTTTGGGGTCAGTAAGCACAATGCAATTTCCAATTAATCCCCAACAAGGTGGCCACAGACTGACTTACCTGAGAAACAAAGGCAGGCCCGTTGTCTGTCCCCAATACCTGTGGCATTCCGTAACGGGGGAAGATTTCTTCAAGAAGTTTCTTGGTGACCACCTTTGTCGTCTCGTGCTTGGTGGGGTAGGCTTCAGTCCATCCCGAGAAGGTGTCAACAAAAACCAGGAGGTCTGTGAAATCTATTTCCCAGTGCACCCCAGGCCGGTACCCCCGAGCTCGGGTCCCCATGGGTAGCTTTAGCCTGGTTGCATTGACGCGGGCGCAGGCGTCACATCGCTCAGTCACTTGTTTTAGTGTTTATTTCATTTCCAACAGGTGGCGGGTATTTTCTTCCCGGGCTAATAGGTCTTGCGTTTTCCTGGAGCTCAAATGAGTGAGTTTGTGTAGGCTGCTAATCAGACTACAGCTGCTTGAAGGAGGTGACTGCTGTTTCCCATGGCCAGGGCAGCCTCCCGGGCGGCCCGGTCTGCCCTCCGGTTTCCCTGGGCGACTGGGTTGTCGCCTCTCTGATGCCCTGGGCAATGTATGATGTCGTGACAAAGGCATAACGGCTGTCTATGTAGACAGTAAGTTTCTTACCTTCCGCCAGCTTCAGAGCCTGTTTTAACAGAGGTGGGACCCAGTCACAGAAGAAACCAGAGGCTACTGGCACTCCCGCACCGGCTTTCCGCTCAGCTCCTGGCCTCCAGCCGTGCGGCTCCCGCCGCTCCTTCCTCCTCGTCGGCTCGCTTCTGCCCCGCCCCCGCTCCATC